TTCTTAAATGTTACCTTATTGCGCTTCTTACTCTGCTTATTGATAAACATAAAATTAATTCACTGTTGCAAAAGTCTTGTAGCTAATCATGTTCTCAAAAGAATGCAGTTTAATTCCTATGCAATAATAGAGCCTTATTTGGTATAGTGATGAAAATCTGGCAGAACTGTTTTTGTACAGCTGTGTTTTGGAGGATTCTGGTACTGCATTCGCTCAAGGGTATTGAAATCTAAGTAATTTTCTCATATTATTAATAGATGCCACTATATTATTAATAACAGCCCGAGAACTAAAATATGAATTATTAAGAAATACTTAAATTTATGACTAGAAAGTTTATACAGCAGTTAAAATTGTGTTTTTTACATCTCTTACTAACTATATTATAGAAAAGATGCATAGATACCTAAACTACTCCAGGAAGATCTAGGGCATTTCAGTTAAGACAAAGAACCATTTTTTATTTTTAGAAAAAAACCATAATTCATGTTATGTGAATAATAATTATTTTTGCTTCCATGGCTTATGAAATAAAATTTAAAATGTGTGTATATTTCACACAAACATATACATGTACACACACGTACAAACATCCACATACTATGTGAAAGGCTCGGGGACACTGACCGAATGTCACAGAGAAAAAGAAAAGGCAGGCAGGCCTGCAGCGTGAAGGCGAGGTAAAGAGAATGTGGAGTGTAAGCTCTAATTTAGGAAAATTAGGCAGGAAATTTGGCTTTGAGCTGCCTAATGGCCAAAACACAATAATTTAATAATACTGGCTACATGGAAAACAGAAACGAATACACACACAAGTTCCTTAATCAAAACGAACAAAATAATGCCTGTCATTGTGAGTGAAAAGAAAGGTTGCTTCTGTGTCTTCATAGAAGAGTCCCTAACCAGAGTGTGACAGCACAGGACCGCACAGCAAACGCCCCGGCCACCTCCTGGGACAGTGTCTGGGGAAGCCCCGCAGCCTGCCGGCATTGTTTGCACCCTGCCGGCATTGTTCGGGGTGGGAAGGGGGGTGGGGGGTGGGGGGGTGGGGTAGGGACCCGGGCATGGCAACACCAAAGGGGCCAGAAACGTGGCCCGAACATGCGGCCCTCTGGCAGTGCAATGTAATTGAGGGACATAAACTGGAACATGGAGAGGAATAAATGGACCATGTGCCCACTCCACTAGCTTTTAAGTGTTCTGTTTTCTCCCACTGAGTTTGAGGTAAAAGCCGATTCACGAACAGTCTGAAGTTACGGTCTTCAGCAAGCCATCTGTGACGCTGTCCAAGGGCAAGTCTTTAAAAACTAATGGTGCATCCCTGGAAAGCAGGAGCTGAAGGACTAGCTTCCGGTGCTTTTTTGGGTTTATTCAATATACAAATAAACAAGCATTCAAGGGTCTCAGGTTTTTCAGAACAGAACACGGTCACAAAGAATAGGGACTTGAGTTTTGTTGCTCTTGATTTTGGATTATTACAGTACTGGTTTCCCAGCATCACCTGGAGAACGTGTTAAATGCAGCTTCCCAGGCACCCTTATATGCTGATGTAATGGCTCTTGGGTGGAGCCTGGAAGTCAGGTAATTCTGCGGAAGACGGTCCAGGAACTATACTTAGAGACCATTATTCTCCAGAGGGAGCGAGCTCTCAGTACTTGATTTTAAATTTCACCTTCTTAACTGTGTGCTCAGTTCACCTGTTGAATATTTAGATCTGTGAGCTCCTTCCTGACACACTGACAGTTGCAAAGTCTCTGAACTGCACTGTCAGCCAATTTTGGGCCTGTTTTGTGTCCACTCTCTGAGGGCTCTCGGTGTCTTGTTGGTCGCGGTTCACAGTTACGTTTCTCCTGAATAGCCCTTCCATTCCCAGCATGGGGACAGCGTGACTTAGATATTGCCACTCTGGCCCTCGCTGCACACGGGCTGCTGAGAAGTTTAGAGAAATTTATGGCTCACCTTCAGCAAGTATGTAGAATTTCTAAACTCACCTTGGCCTTGTCTTTCCTACTCTTACTTTCCTTGCCTCAATTCCCTCAATGTTTTTACATTTTATATTTACTTTCAAAGCTGCTTCGGATTTTCTTTTTTTAAAAAAATATTTTATTTATTTATTTTTTGAGAGAGGGGTAGGGAAGGAGAAAGAGTGGGAGAGAAATATCAATGTATGGTTGCTTCTCATGCATCCCCTGCTGGGAACTGGCCTGCAACCCAGGCATGTGCCCTGACTGGGAATTGAACCGCAATACTCTGGTTCGCAGGCCTGAGCTCAATCCACTGAGCTATGCCAGGCAGGGCTTGCTTCAGATTTTCTATGGAACAAGGCCAGTGGGGGTGTGTGTGTGTGTGTGTAGAGGTGGGCAGAAGTAGGTTTACAGTTGTTCATATGGAAACTAATATAATAATTAACAATAGTACCAAAATAAACTGTGTTTCATGTACTCACAACTGTAAACCTACTTTCGCCAAACCCTGTATGTGTGAATGGGTAAATGAATTAACACAAGGTAGAAATTGGATGGCAAAAGCAATGAACTATGGAAGGAAGGTTTGGGTTTTTCCTTGAAGCTGCGACTTCACTGTCATTTAATTAATACATATCACAATCTAATTCTCCCCAAATTTTGATTTACATGATGCTTTCTTAAAGATTTTTTTTGAGGATTAATGGGTTTGAAAGCACTTGGTTCTTTGTAAAGTGTTACATAAATGTAAAAAAGATAATTATATTATTTCATTAACTGTGTATTGCTATCAACTCATGCTTTAATATGAATTGGCAAGTGAGTTTTGGTCAATGATGAGAAAAAATGTCTATCAAATTTTATGGGCATGTGTTCTAACTTGTTTCTATTTTTAGGTAGAAGATATTACAAAAAGTTTTGACAATTGACAGAAAAGCGATTATGGGAACAAGATTAGAAAATGCAAACTTTTTGTATCAATCCTCCTTTTAACAAATTTACAATTCCTAGTTTAATCGTTCAGTAATCCATTTATTGCCCAACCCTGTCCCTGGCATGTAATTTGACTCCAGCACATGACACAGCAGCCTGGAATTACTTATCTTTATCACTGCCAACCATATTAGACTCTGTGCTTCTTCGGGACATCATCTCACTTATTATTGTATCCGCAGGGCCCAGGTAGTACTTGACACACAGTAGGTGTTCGATAAATGTTATTAAATGGATAAACAAACACGAAAAAACAACTGCTTTCTGTCAATTGGAAAGAAGACTGGTATACTGGTGTTGCGCATTCAGGTTAGACACTGACGTCCTTAGCACTGAAGCAGGACCCTGACTGTCCAGTGACTCAACCCTAGGAAACGAAAGTGGACATGCAGCAGACTAAAGTGACTTGAGGATCCAAGGATGCTGCTCGGGAGGAGGCAGTCTTCCAGCAAAGGGAAAAGGCAGCCCTGCAAACACAAGCAGCTTCCTGCCGGGAACTTCAGGGGGCGTGTTCACACAGCAGTGACTGGGGCTCCAGGGAGTGCCTTGCTAACATTCAGTACGGTGAGTCCTAATAAAAACGTTTCCACATCTCCACTGAGCGACAGACAAAAGCCCATTTGCACCCAGAGATTTCCTTAGAGAACAAATGACTGGGAATGTAACAGCTACATTAATTCTTAATGTCAACTATCTGCATGAAAAACTTGATAAATACAATTTTTAACAAAAAGAACATAAACCAGAAATAATGTGGCATGATCTTAAAGAATTACAGTATTCTAATGTGTCTAACCTACAGCACAAGATAACGCGTATCTGGGCACCTGGACAACAGAGTCTTTTTCTCACACGTCTCCGTGTTTTAACCTCTGGGTGGTGTACGGCAGAAAGAGACTAAAACAAAAATCTATCCTAAGTATGAAAATGCATGGAGGGCTCACAGAGTATAATTAATTCAAGTGCTCGTCAAAATGCTCAGGAACAGGGAAGACACGAGCATGCGCAGTGTAAGGCCACCGCCCTCGGGAATCTTACAGTCTAATACAGAGCTTTTCACTACAAGGTACTCACAGAACTGGGTGAAAATAAGCAAGGATATCAGTGAACTTGTCATGAAAAGAAAAATGTTATGTATCTATGACCAACTGATTTTGTTTTACCAGAACAATTATCTTCAACAGATTTAAATACTATTTTTACTGACTACATGGAGGTTGAAAATTTTTAACAAAATGTATCTCAAGCTATAAACATTTTGAGAACCAAAACTACTCTAAAAAGGAAAATAAACATGTTACTACATTTTGAAATTGAAAAAATTTTTCACTTCAAAACAATTATATGCTATACAGATATAAAAATCTTATAGTTATTGTTAATATATGCAACATTGTTTATAAAAGTTTTCACTGCTCTCGGCTTTTCTTGCTTTGTCATAGGCAAGACACCTACAATATACAGATGCTGGTCTTTATGTTATAAATAAAAATTTACTGTCCTGGCTGGCATGGCTCAGTGGACTGAGCACCAGCCTGGGAACCAGGGGGTCGATTCCCAGTCAGGGCATGTGCCTGGGTTGCAGGCCAGGTCCCCGGCAGGGGGCTCACGAGAGGCAGCCACACACTGGTGTGTCTGTCCCTCTCTCTCCCTCTTCCCCTCTGTCTAAAATAAATATGTGCATTTAAAATAAAATAAAATTTACTAACAAAAATGTGGCATAAAGATTTCTATTGACTGCAAATTATGTTTTGTTTTTAAGTCAGAAGCCTCTTACTCTCCCTTTTGTGATGTAAATGTGAACTTGAGTAACAGACATAAGAACACAGACATACTCAACAGGTGTTATTTCTTCCTCATTTTTTAAGTTTTCAGAAACCTCTTTATGTTGTGTTTTGATTATAGGCTCCCTAAATTGGTTTGGAAAGTAAGCAGATATAAATTAATAACTTAATTGTAAACTGAGCAAGACTACGAACTACAAAGTGTAAAACAATGATTTGTTCCTGAAACTGTTCTGCATGCCCCCAGAGGCTTCCGTACCTGCAGATGGCTGGGAAACACTCCTGGAGGCCCTTCTTCTTCACCAGAGACCCTTCCAGGCAGTACATGATGATGTCCATGACCTGCGGAGGAAGGACACGAACCGAAAATGAACTTCACACACTTAATTTTCCAAAATTTAAATGATTAACTCAGGGCCTCACTTGCCCATGGAAATTCTAGACGGTTTAATCTTGATATTTACATTAAACTGCAGGATATTCTTTTATCTGTGAAAAACACTTCTAGGACAGTGCAATAAAATAAAAAGACTACTTATTTCCTTTCAAGGCTATTCATATTTATGTCCAGTATAGTAACTTTTATTTAAGCACGCTGTATGTCCTGTTTTATTTATAATGAAAGATGTCCAAGAGAACATGACCTTTAAAAATTACTCTAATGTAGCCCAATTAATTCCATGTGAATGACAGATGGACACAGCAATCATTTTGATTTTTGAGGACATTTAATAAGGGCTCCAGAAACAGTACAAAAGTTAATTCAATTCAGTTATCTCCTGTCCTTTAGAGATTTATATACTGCACTGGAACCTTAGGCTGTGGATACATCATTCAAAACAGGAAATTCTTACCTCCACGAGCAGATCCACAACATCTGTGGGCATCTTTTCAATGAGAATTTCAATGACTCTCAGAATCTCCCCTTTGGCGCGGGCGAGCGTCGTTGTGTGCATATTCTGCTGCGATTGGGTGTTGGCTGCGAGGGCCGTGTGTCTGTGGACCTACAGAAAACATTCCACGCTGCACGTGCGGCTGACACCTGGTAGAGTTTTACATCTCTAGCCACTGGTTTATTTTTCACTTATTACAGTAGAAAAATAAAAGAATCCACAAGCACAAATCTCCTGAGATGAGTCAGGAAAGACTTTTGACTGCAAAAGAAGGTATTTAGTACAATATAAATTCTGGCGAGTCTTGTTTGATGAAATTTTTAAAGTTTCTGGGCATGGGAGACTTTAAAACCGTATTACCATAACATTCCTTTAAAAAGGACAGGCTGAAGGTTTGCGAAGTTGGTGTGTTTGGTGCTGAGGTGGGGAGCAGTTATGAGACTCAGCAAATATCGGAGATGGCCCTTGCTTTCATGTAATAATAGTAAATGATGTTGTCTCCATTCTAGGTGCTTTATAATCCAGTTGGGAAATTCAAATAGACATGCCTCCCAAAACAAGAAGCATTGTAAACAATGCAGATTTAGTGTGGATGCCCCCACCCCAAACCCAAATTGTCCACCTTCCATGGTTCAGTGGAAAAAGAGGGTTCATGGGCCCAGACCAGCCAGGGGGCGACTCTTCAGTATTTTACTCAAAACTCTGAGTGAAGTGGAAACTTGTGTTTAAAAGGTAGTGAATGGGGAGTATTACATTGAAATATTTAAAAATTAGTTTCTAGCCCTGGCTGGTGTAGCTCAGTGGATTGAGCATGGGCCTGGGAACCAAGCAACCACGGTTCGATTCCCAGTCAGGGCACATGCCTAGGTTGCAGGCCAGTTCCCAGCAGGGGACACACAAGAGGCAACCATACATTGATATTTCTATCCCTCTCTCCTTCCCTTCACCTCTAAAAATAAATAAAATCTTTTTTTAAAAAATAAATAAAATAAAAATTAGTTTCTAACCAATGCTAGAGTAGAATAAATCCAGAGCACAGCCGTTCTAACAGTTCATTTAAGAACACTCATACATGTAAACGGTGCAAATTAAGTTAAAAAACACAATTAGACACAAACACTTGTTCACCTTCTTTAAAGAGGCAGTTGAATGCCTGGCATTGCTAGGACCTGTGTTTGTGGTCAGAGTGCTGTAAGGCTTATTCAGCACATTCAGTATTACTATCCGTGTTTATTCCACCAATGGGAAAAACTGGCAACAAAAATTCCGTGGCCAATAAGTCTGTGCTTTATATAAATGTATAATATCTGTAAAATACATAAACACACATATACATATATGCATGTTTTAAATACAGCGGAACCTCACTTTAACAAAAAACACACACCTTTAGGTCTACAGATTTATTTTTGCTCTGAGTACAGAGTCTCGCGGCCTCACATCAGCCTGTGCCATCTGCTATTCGGCCCTTCCCATTCCCTTCTAGCAGCCTTCACGTCACAAATATTTGCCAAATGCCTACCAGGGATGGCCCCAGGCCAGACATGCGCCCGTAGGGTTCAGGTTATCAGGGCAGGTGCAGAGGCATCTATTTAGTATTTTAAAAATTCATCGCAGGTAACAGAAAAACAAGTCAGACCGAGCCCTTACCCCACAGACGCCAAGTCTGTACAATATTCAGGCTGAAATGGAATAAACCTTTAAAAAATTTAGGAGCTTATCACCCCTTCCTGTATCTCCCATGAGTAAGACCTACAGGAAAGATCCTATAACTGGTTCACTGCTCTTTACTAGGTTTTAGTTAGACGTGGGCAATTAGTTAGAACACCAGGAATGTGGGAATCAACTGGCATTCAAGTCTTTAGATGTGACATCTAGTAGCAAAAACAATTAGCAAGTTTATGACTTTTACATTTTTGTTTACAGTTGGAGAGCCAGTGTTAAATAAGAAGTTTGGTTTGGATGACAGGTAGATACGTTTGTAGAATGTAAAGACCTTTAATATATGGGGTGGGGGGCAGGGTAAAAGTAGGTTTACAGTTGTTCATATGAAATATAGTACAAGAGTTAATAAATAATAATACAAGCATAAACTCAGTGTTTGGAGTACTCACAACTGTAAATGTACTTTAGCCCCACCTTGTATTTTAATTTGCATAAGCTTGCTATATCAGATTGAAACGTGATTGCCAAGTATTTACAAGTGAATTCACTGCTAGGAAGAAATGACTAGAAAAGCACAAAGTACTGAATGCACTGCTGTGCACAGGTACGATGTGTTTGTTTCAGTACATGGTTGTTACTGGCATTGCTAGAGAACAAACTGGAAGGGTTATTTGTGGATGCAGACCCTCAGCCCACAGTAGCAGCTAATTCCTCTAAAGGAGGAGCCGGAGCCCGGGAGTTGCACTCACCTCCTTGGCGATGGTGGTGATGAAGGCGGGTGGTCTGGCCGTGGCAATGAGCGAGAGGGCATGCCTCGCTGAGCGGGCGGAGTCAGCTGCTGGGCTCAGAGGCAGCCCCATTGTGATGCTAAACAGGGATCAGAAAAAAGGAGGAAAGAAAAGAAGCATTAGAAATATAGACTGAAAAGATTAGACACAGCTTATAATGTCAGTTCAAGGTCAATGGGAGCACTCAAACAGTTAGAATATAATGGACTTGCAACAATGAGCAGTGATTAGGAGTCAGAGTGTTCTGGCATCAAATACAAAATCGAATAATTAACCGTGAAGATTGAAAACAGTATGTGCATCTGTCCAAAGTGTTACAAACGCCTTGTTAACAAATTATCAAGAACTAGTACTGAATACATATCGCCAAGCTCAGAATAAGGCAAGAAATACTTTGCTGGCATTCTCCATTTCTTTCCTAAAAAAACTTAAAGGTAATTTGCTTATAATGCTTCATTACCAGGCTATATTTATTTAAGGCCACGTATCTAAAAGGGAGCAAAATTCACATCTGTCCGGGGAAATTATCGCAAGAACTAAGAATGACAAAACTATTTTTAGCTTGTACACTATTTTTAGTTTAAAATATCCCTAGTACTGCTAGTTTAAAATATCCCTAGTTCAGTACCACACTTAATACTTAGAACCAACCCACTAATCAGTATGCTCTCCTGATACTTACTTACTATTAATGAAAACACGACAGCAACTGATACACAAGAACAGGAACATGGTAACATAAATCTCTCAAAACTATGAGGATGTCATTTATATTCCTTTGCCATTCCTACAATATACAAATGACATGTTTTTGTTTCCAAGCTTCCTTTATACAGACTGCTACGAAAAGTATTTACTTATAATTAAAATGCAGCATGTCCTCCACATTATCAACTGCATGTACGGTGTATTTTGTTACTAAGAGACCCAGTCGCAGTTTCTCCCTCTAGGTCAATAACTCTTACATTTAAGTAGCCACATGAAAGTCATAAGAAGAACCATCCTGTCCTAATTAAATAAGTCTGTGTGCTTCGTGTGCAAACTGGATTATGTTTACTGAAAATTCTCAAAATGTTTACAAGTATTTCTATGATTTATCTATGAATCGGTGTTTTAAATTTTAGTTGACAATAAAGAGGCATCAGGTAGGCATTCTCACCATAGTTAAAAGAAAGTAGGTTGATTATAGAAAATTCTGCTTGTATTTTCCTTGTGGCTGTCATGCTGCTTAAATCTTTGAGAATAAAACGGTGAAAGCAGGAACTCAGAGGAGAGGGATGGTGAGCCTTCCTTTGATGTCTACTGCTAAGAAGAGACATGTGAGCCCAGAGGACAAACGCACGCACTGAACAACAGAGGGCAGGCGCTGGAGGGCGCGCCACCCCCTTGGCAGACCCCCACGCCAGGGGTCCCAGCAGGGGCCGGAAGGAGATGCCCAGCAGGAAGGCACCGTAGGGCAGCTTTGAGAGCTGCATTGCTGGATCAAACTTTAATACTGAAGATTCGGAAAAGGAAATGTTTACTATGTGAGTAGTAATTCACATAGGCTGGATTGCTTAATAATTACAAAGTGTAGATGATATTTTAAGTCACGTTTTAAGACATTCAGATGCTCATTAAACTTTCCAGATGTTCTGTGCCGTTCCCTTTTTTCATCAATGCGAATGAACAGGTGTCGATGGTACTGGCAGGCTGACACAAACGAAAACTGTATGTTCATTGAAGAATTCTGAACAGACCTACATCAAATTGTATAAGATCAATAGAAATCACTGAATAACAGAGTTGGAAAAGATCTCTTCGCAGCATCCTTGCCAAGCAGTGAGCCAAGGAAAGTGCCAGGGTGCTCGGTGACGCAGGCTGTGAGAGAATTCACAAAGAGCAGGAACTGCAGAGGGTAGAGGGTTTATTTTTACTTTTGAAAGGGAGGGACAGGGCTGCACTGGAGACCTACGCCAGCCCCAGCCCCAGCCCCGGGGGGTCAGGGCTGTGACTCCTTATCAGGTGGTGGGCGGCTGTGGAGCAGGATGTTCCAGTTGGGCTGCGACTTGTTTCCCTGTCATCTTTGGGTGCGGGGTCCGGTGGTCACTGCGGTCTGCTATGTCCTGTTTCATGGGCGCCTTCAGGGCGCTTCCAGTAATTTTTTTTTTCAAAAATATATTTTATTGATTATGTCATTATAGTTGTCCCAATTTTTCCCTCTTTTTTCCCACTCCACCAAGTACCCCCACTCCCTCCAGCAATCCCCTCTCCTTAGTTCGTGTCCATGGGTCATGCATATTAAGTTCTTTGGCTTCTCCATTTCCTATACTGTCCTTTTTTAAAATATATATATTTTATTGATTATGCCATTACAGTTGTTCTATTCCCCCCCTTCATTCCCCTCCACCCTGCACACCCCCTCCCCCACCATTCCCCCCCTTTAGTTTATGACCATGTGTCTCAAGTTCTTTAGATTCTATATTTCCCATACTTTTCTTGCTCTTCCCCCATCTATTTTCTACCTACCATTTATGCTACTTATTTTCTGTACCTTCTCCCTCCTTCTCCTTCTCTCACTCCCCTGTTGCCAACCCTCCATGTGATCTTCATTTCTATGGTTCTGCTCCTGATCTAGCTGTCCTCTTAGTTTGCTTTTTGTTTTAGGAGTGGTTCTTAATAACTGTGAATTTGCTGTCCTTTCACTGTTCATCTTTTTTATCTTCTTTTTCTTAGGTGGCTCATATAACAATTCGAGTCAGTCGGGCTTGGGGGGGTCTAGCCAGCTCCAGGAAAGGAGGCCTGAGAACGTGGCTTTCGTCCTGTTAGAAAGGGGAGAATGTCTCCTGGGAGGCCTCTCCCCTACCCGGAAGGAGGATACAGAGGAATGAAACTGGACGTGGAACCCGAGGACTAGGCTTGAAGTCAGATGCTGGCGCCATTATTGCACATTGCCTTGTGTCTGCCCCCGAACATCCTTACAAGTGACACCAGCACGTCACGCAGAAACCAGGTCCAGGGACGTTCTGGAGCCGAGGTAACAGTGAATGTCTTCCAGAATAGCTGACCTCTGAAGAGAAGTGGGGGAGGGGCCTGGCGACATTCCACTGCACTGAATTCATGAACTGGTAACATAAACGGACTCAGCGGCTCTGGTTGCGTGGCTAGACTGTTCCCCTGGGAGGAGTTTCTAGTAGTGTGCGGCATGACTGGTACTTCAGCTCTGTTTTTTCGGTATCAAGAGTGCTTTGGATAAAGATTCGGGGTGCAAGGTTATCATCTGGTGTGGATATGAAGTTGTCGCAGACAGCAGCTGTGGTAAGGTCTGGTGATGGGAGGTGAGGTCTGGAAGCGATAGACAAATGGGGAAGGAAGCTGACCAAAGACATACAAGTGTAAGTGTTGCCCAGTGAGTTCAGCGGAAGCTGGAACAGCCACCGCCTCACAGAGGCGTCAATGCGTGCATCTGAGTGCCTCTCGCCAGCAGTGTGGGAAGTCTGGGCACACGCAGTGGACAGCTCTACTGCTCTGAGGTCGGGGCTCTGTGGGGGCCTTTAGAGCACGCACAGCGTAAGAGCGGGGAAAGTGTGACTGTGACTGTGACCGTAGAAGGGAGTTGCCAAGGCACCGGGGAAGAAGAGAACCCTCGTCTCTCTCCTCTACAGTCGGTCCAATGTGCCACTGCCAGGGCACTTGTCCGAAAGCACTGACTTCATCTCACAGTTGGTTAACCTGCTCACAAACTTCCGGTGGCTGCTAGTGCTTCTGAGACAAATCTGAGACTCCTCGGCATGAGACTCTGGCCACCCACGTCTAGTCTAATTTATGACTCAGTCTTTTCACCATCAACACTCCCGACACGAGCTAATTTCAAACTTGGCCCTTAAAACTCTCTTCCTGCGTCTATTGTAGTGTTCCCCAATGCCTCTCGCCTGCCCTTTGCCCTCCCTTTGTTCAATTCCGTGGAAACCACGTGGTATTCTGCAGTTGCTATAGCACTCAATTACCTTCTGTTGAAACAAAACCACCATCACCAGTATCCGTGTATTCTGAGCCCTTAGCCTTGACTCCCATCTGCCAGGCAGTATGAATGAGTTTTGTATTGTGAACTCTGTACAGACCGGGACCACATCTTTTAATTCTGTCCCCCCCCCCCCCCAGAGTGCCTACTACACCCCTTGGACCCAGTGGTGGCTTGATAGTTATGCACTCAATGAAGTTACCTGGCAAATTCAGCAGGGAAAAAAAATCACTTAAGCCAGTTATTTGACTGAATTGACCAGGCAGTGAAGTCAAAGTAATCGATCTGGTTGCCCCAACAGACACAGTTTAATTCTGCATGTGGGGAATCTTCAAAGCCAAGAGTGCACTGTGTGTGGGACTCTGAATGAAGAAGGATCATGTCGTCAGAGGTCTGGCATTAAAGGAGCATCTGCCCGACCCCGGAATCTGTGTGTTCACCCAGAGCTCACTTTTTCCGCCTGATTCTGCTGATCTGGCTGTTGTGTATCGTTTATCATGCAGGCTTATAGGTTGGGCCGATGGTTTCAGTCTTTATTCTAAAAGAATATGATATAAGACAATCTCTGTTTTACTCAGCATTTCAGTACCCACATCCAATATGAAATACTAGAGATGATAGATATTAGAAACAAAAACACAAGTAGAAAAATGGCCCATTGGGCTGAGCTCATTCCTTACGTGACTGCTCATTAATCCTGTTCTAATCCTCATTCCGTTGTGGTAAAAGCATTTAAAAGTTACATGTAAGACCGCTTCAGTTAAATGTCACGGTAATTGTCAGACTTCCCCATCTGTCAAATTAAATAATACTGTAAGGAAATATTCAGGGGAAGGAACACTTAAAACTTTATTTTTTTTTGGTTGCCCCCTTTTTTTTTCTTTTATTGATTATGCCATTACATTTGTTCTATTCCCCCCTGAACCCTGCACACCCCTCCCCTACCATCCCCCCCTTTAGTTCATGAACACGTGTCTCAAGTTCTTTAGATTCTGTATTTCCCATAGTATTCTTACCCTCCCCCTATCTATTTTCTATCTACTGTCTATGCTACTTATTTTCTGTACCTTCTCCCCCCT